GGATTCGGACTTGCCTCAGGATTGCAGGAGCTGCAGACGCGGGCGGCTGCAAGAAGCCATAGGAATGTAAGACTGGATCCTGCACCAGACTGGACAGGGGCCACAGCTGCAGGGCCTGCAGGCTGTCGAAATCCCATCCGACCGAAGCCGAAACCCCCTTTCTTGTCTGCTTGTCGGGCACAAAGCCGGTTTTAAGATTTAGGGGGTCGTGGAAAGTTTTAATATTACACGCAGTCGCATGCACGCCCGAATGCAGTCTTGGGCGTGTCGATCCCAGGCGGCCTGGCAGCACACTTCACGGACTGTGACTTGGCCCAGCACAGCGAGAAACATACATCTTGCCGATGGATGTTAGCTTCGGGTTTCAGAGAATTTCGATGTGGGTTTGCTAGAGGGAAGTGTCCAGTCAAGAGAAGAAATCTGCGCACCCAATCTCGGGCACGGAGACCCTGAACACAATGCCTACTATAGCCTTTCTGCTTGCACTGGTCGGAAAGCTATGGAGCTCAGCAAGATGCGTTGACCATTGCGCTTGGGTGTCGGTACCCGCAGCTGGGTCGTGGTGTTGGCTTGGGCCGCTGCCGATCCGATGGTGGATTCGTCGCTGTCTTCGGTGTTGTTGTTGCTGGTGGCAGTGCAACTCATGTGGGAAGAGAAGCAGGAAACATGACATTTACTACCTCAGACTGTAGACGGAACGCACAACATCAAAAGCATCTGCGAAGCATGTCATATCAGACCTGCGTGTTCGACATGTCACTGCTGCAAGCTCAATTGCGAGAAATATGAGGCAGTCGGTGCGTGGGAACAACAGCTACGAATCTTGTCTGCAGTCCATCCAGCACAACACCCGTGATGTAGGACAACCCCGTGTCCCAATGAGCATATCGTCAGCCTACTAGGAGGTCTGCTAGGCATAGTAGTGCACAAAGCTTTGGATGAGGTTTCCAGCTGCGAGTTAGTTTTCACGAACTGCTTCCAGCTCTTCGAGCACGCATACTAGGTGCCGAATGCATCGCTGCCGTCGACGCCGATGTGGCCACAACCCGTGTTGCCGCAGGTAGCTCTTTAGATTATTTTTGGAAAGAAGCATCGCGGACCACCACACAGGGTGATGGGGACCTATACGAGATAAAGGCTTTGGCACTCCGGTGCCACATGGTGTTGATATTTGTGTGGCTGGCCACCCAGTTCATGTCAGGTCATGGCCTACGTACCTCAGATGGCTTCGCAAGCGTCCCTGCCCCTGCCAAATGCCCAACTACCTACACAGGTCTCTGCACAGCAGTTGCCACCACAGCAGACCCAACCATCCCAACAACAAATGCCTTCACAACAGATGCCACCACAGCAGCTACCACCACAGCTGTTGCCACCACAGCAGTTGCCCCCGCAGCAGCTGCCACCACAGCAGTTGCCACCGCAGCAGTTGCCACCACAACAGTTACCACCTCAGCAGCTGCCTTTCGCCCAGCTGCTATCGCAACCCGCAAGCACACCACGGCAGCCAGGAATGGCGCAGATGCCGGTCACGCACACCAGTGTGGGTGTGTGTTTGTCACCACAACCCAAGCTGTTTCTGTAGCTCCGGAGAGGTCATGGGCAGCACAGTGAGTGTTGAGCTACTGACAGCAGCTAGCAACCTTTGTGAGCGGAGTACTTAAGCCGAGTTAGGCAGTGGAACGGCTTGTAAACGGGACCGGGCATGTGGGCAGTTGGTGGAGTTCGATGTCTCTAAGTTGAGGCTTCCGGACTTCATCTGGCAAATGCACAGTCTTGTGGACATGAAAAGCACGCATTGCTCTGGCAAGCACCTGTTCTCCGTCCCCTGAGCATCACTGGAGCCAAGTATTCTGCAGCCGCTGACTTATTACATTCAGGGGGCCCCGTCTGTTTGTGTGCGATACTGGTAGCAATGCAAGATCTTTGCAATCTCTTTCCTTTAATGATCGTTACACGGCCATGGCTCCAGCAGGCGCTTGGTCTTCACAGTGCGATGCAGTGAAACCATGATAGTACATCGGGCTGCTGCATGTCTCGACTTCGCTTGTAAACGTCATAACTACATCATGTGAAGGCCATAGTGGCCGCAACCCAGATCTGGGATTGATCATATGGTGAGACAGACTCCCGGTCAAAGGGGAATCGAAGCCATGCACCGTACCACCCGATGCGAGCTCCGCCCAGGAGCAGGCTGCAGCAAATCTGTTTGTGGTGCAGTGCAGGCAAGATTCATCATCGTAAACCCTCCATGCCGACCCTGGACCCTGAAGGCCCCTAGGTCCGCGCGCCCTAAAACCCTAAACCCTAGATAAATTCATGATTTCCAGGTGTTACGGGACTGCGACTCTCGTGGCAGAGGTTCGCGCATGTGGGCGGAATGGAGATTGGCCCCGGGCTGAAGAACTCCTGTATGAGGCCGGCTGTAGGTGAGGATGAGGATGATGAGGATGGTGCTGGCAACAGCACAGTATTTAATATTTTCAATTTGGCTGGTCAGTCTGACGCTTGGTGTCATGTTTCGGATAGCCATGATTACGACTCTGCGCAAACAAGCGCTACTACGAACTGCTATCTCTGGGACTTCGACGACGACTACAACTCCTACTGCTACTGCTGCTACCACCGCTACTACGACGACTGCAACCAACAACAACAGCAACAACAACAACAACAACAAGAAGAACAACAAGAACAACAAAAACAAAAACAACAACAAGCAACAACAGCAGCGACAGCAACAACAGCAACGACGACAACAACAGCAGCGGCGGCAACAACAACAACAACAACAATCAACCACCCACAACAACACCACCACCACCACCAACTACTACTACTACTACCACTACGACTACTACCACTACTATCACTACTACTACTACTACTACTACTACTACTACTACTACTGCTACTACTCCTGCTGCTGCTGCAGCAAGAACAACAACAACAGCAGCAGTATCACCTGCAACAGCTACAGCCAAAAGAACAGTGACAGCGACAACAACCGCCGCAGCAGCAGCAGCAGCAACAACAACGGCATCATCAACAGCATCGGTTAAACTAGCGTAACCGCAACAACAACAACAACCACGACGACGACGACGACGATAGCAGCAGCAACAACAACGACGACAACAACAACGACAACGACAACAGCAGCAGTAGCAACAACAACAACAACAGCAGCAACAACAACAATCATAACGCTGACACCACCACCACCAACAACAACCAAAAAAAATATCAGCAGCAACAGCAGCAACAACAACAACCAACAGCTGCTGCTACTGCTACCACCACCACCACCACCACCACCACCACCACTGTCACCACCATCACCACGACGACGACTACTACTACTGCTAATGCTACTACTGCCCATGGTGAAGCAGCTGCTACTACTACGAGGACGACGACTATGACTACCACTACGACGACGACGACTAAAACAACTACTCCTGCTAGTGCCCATAGCATTGCTGCTGCTCTTACTGGTACGGCTAGTACTACTGCTACTGCTGCTACCACCACTACGACTACCACTACTACACCACCACCACTACCACTGTCACTACCCCATCCAGTACCACACAACTTCCAGTACCACTGCAATTTCCGCTACCACCACCACACCACTCCCAGTCCTACTCCTACTCCTAGAACTACTTCTACTACTACTTCTACTCCCACTAGTACTACCACTCCTGCTGCTCCTACTCACACCGCTACTGGTACTATCACCACCACTTTCTGCTTCTCCTACTACTAGTACCACTCTTGCTAGGACTACTAGGACTACTACGACTACTATGTCTACTACTACTGCTACTACTACCACCACCACCAGCACCACTACCTCTACTATTACTTGCGACTAGTACTTGTGAGGCTTCTCCGTATCAATCGCCTTGTCGTGATGACTGCGCTACTGTTCCTGGTTTTCTTTCTCCAAGGGGTGCTTAACTAATACAAACAAAGATTGTTAACATGAATGCGAGTTCCTTTCTTCCTGTTGGTAGTGTAGCGAATGCCAACCTCAGCATGCACCTGGCGATGCCAAGTTTATGGATCAGCGAAACTATGAAGACTGCCATGGCCATGTGGATGATGTTCTTCGTGACGACGAATGCCTGCCATTGACGGTGTTGCTGTTAGCAGCTATAATCAGGATGATAACCGTGGCTTTGATACCAATGGTTGTGATGACATTTAGGGTGATGGTGATGATGCTGATGACTGCTAAGGTGACCATGAAGACAGGCTGATGAGGACGATGATGGGCATCACGGTCATGATCATGTGCATGGTTATGTTGCTGAGGATGGTGAGGACGACGATGACTTGTTTGGAATTTTCTGGCAGATGAGGAGTCTGGGTTGAACCCACTATGGGTGCATGACAATACCCACTAACACTGTGATGGTCGTTTGCAAGGCAAGGCGCTTCGCAAGGTCGCGTTAACAGCCGATCAATCAGTGCCTCAAGTTCGTTTTCTCACAGTATGCAGTTGTCAGGCTCGAAAGTGCTAGGCGTCCGACAACTATGATTTGGGCGTGCGCAGCAAGACGGATTGTGTGCCCACGAGAGAGAGCTCTATTTGGTAAGTAAGGGTTTGCTGCATAGTGTGAAGGGCGTAGTCCTGAAACCCTAGCAACTTAAAGCTGAACAAGGCCTATATACGTATTTACATATGTATATGTATATGTAGATGTGAACGTGTTTGCTAGGTATGGGTGTAGGTATACGTAGAAGTGTAATACATAAATACATTTATATAAATAAGTAAATGTATATATATATACATACATACATACATACATACATACATACATACATGCATACACACATGCATACATACATACATACATACATACATACATACATACACACACACATACACACATATACATATACATATACGTATACAAAAACATACAGACACAGAAGGTTATGGATAACCGTACAGATGCCAGCATGGATTTCGCGTTGTAGGCGACATGGGCGCATGTGGTGGCAAACCTGCTGCCAAGCAGCAGGAAAGTCGGGAACTCCGTTTCCACGACGGACTTCATTACAGCCCACTGGAATCCAACGTCCATAGAGGATTTCTGAGCCTTGGATCGAATGAGCTTGATTCTCCATTCGATTTCGAGTCTCAGTTGTCGGTCGACGAGGACACACAGGACATAGTCCAGTTTTCGGCCCCGATCTTTGTGGCGGAGGAAGGCGAAACGTTCAGTGTTAAGCTGATGCGACTGGGGTCCCTCGCTGGAACCGTCAGCTGCTATTTCCAAACGGAAGCAGGCTCTGGCAAACCTGGAGTTCGCTATGTTCACACAGAGGGGGAGGTCGTGTTCGGAGACGGGCAATTCGAGGAAAGCATCGACATTCAGATCATAGATTCGCCGGATTGGTCAGCGACCCTTGAGTTCAAGGTCGTACTAAGCAATGCCAGGGGGTGTTCCTTGGGGAAATATCTGAAGGTGTGTCGCGTCAAGGTCTTGGACTCAGACCCTTTTCCAAACAGCGACTATGCTGAGCCTGTGAAGGCGGGCCTGGATGCTATCAAGGAAATTAACCCAGTACCACTCTTTGTGGACTTTTGCAGGCTGATGCTTAAGATACCTGGAAACTCCAGGCGATTTGCGGTGATCTTGCTCTGCGACCAACTTAAGAATGCGTATCTTTGGTTTCAGCTAAAAGCTTCCGTGTACACGGTGAACGTGATCTTCGGTGGAGAAGACGCTGCGGACCAGCTCATCATCCCGGGAGACGCTGTGACCACTGCTAAGCTTCTCGGCTTGATGTACATAGGCCTTCCCCTGCTCTTGCACCTTTACAAAGAAGCCAAGACGCGAATGGACATTGCAGGCCATTGTAATTTCTATTTGCAGACTAGCTTGATGCGGAAATATATGAATTTCAACGACGACTCTAGAGCAGCGGTCTCGCTTGACGCAGTTCAGAAGGTTGTGACCGAGCAAGCGCTGGATGTCTCAAACAGCCTGGACAACGTGTCGTCCATGCTAGAGACACTCGGTCGGCTGGTCATGTTGAACTATTTCGCAGTTTCCAGTGATCCAGGCATGCTGTGGGCCGTTGTCACAATGCCTGTGGTCATGACTTTCTGGGTGCTCCTACGCCATAGGTGGTTGACAAAGCCTGAGAAGGACCGTCCCTACAAGAAGCGAGTCATTCAGCTGGTGTGTTCCATCAGCGAGTACTACTCGCTCATTGCTGCCTACTTCCAACGGCCTGCCATGAACGAGAAGTTCGCTGCGAGCGTGGCTAAGCTCGGGGAGGTACAAGAGCCTCTGGGAATCTACCACATGCGCACCGAGTTCTTTTTTTCTTGGCTCGGGCCATTCTTCTCCGGCTTTTACTTGTGCTTTTATGCTCAACAAGTGATGGATGATCAGCTATCGCTGGGAACGTTTCTAGCAACCATCTCAGTCTTCAAGGAGGTTTCCTCGAATTTTGCGGATGGATATTCGGTGATGATGAGTGTGATCTCCAAGTTCGAGCCTTTAACTGATATTACTCTTTTCTTGAATCGGCAAACCGATGTCCGCGACTTGAAAGAGATGGTGAACAGGCGGCTCAAGGAGACCAGCGAACAGCGGAGTCGGTTGATGCAGCTTTCGATGCCAATCCCTCCCGGTAAGGTGCGGACTGACTTACTTCCAATTCGCTTGGAGAACGTATCTTTCAAGCTTGGGATGGACAAAGAGCTGTTCAAAAATGTAGACATATTTGTCGAGCAGGGCAAGCTAATCGCTGTGGAAGGCACTCATGGATCCGGCAAGACGAAGCTGATCAGAATCTTGGCTGGTGGGATTTCTCCGACTAGTGGCGTCGTGACTATGCCCTCGCATTTGCGGTGCGTGCTGGTTACGCATAATGTCGTGTTGATGAATACGTCTCCTTTGCAGAACCTCTTCTTTGGTGATCCTCTCGCCTTAGCACAGACAGAAGATCGGCAGCGTGTGATGTCGATTCTGGAGAAGCTGGGGATGAACAGGACCCGAGAGCTTGCTGAGAAAGAGATGGAAATCTTACAAGAGCCTTTGTCGGATGGGGAGGAGGTCGACGCAGACGCTGGCCATTGCGGCACGGCTGGGAAGGAAAAAACCAAGCCTACCCGTTCGCCATGGATTCCACCAGACGATAGTAAGCGAGCGGCGAATGTGAGGTCCGCCCTGCGTGGTTGGCAGGGTACTCTGTCCTTCCAGGAGAAGGCGAAGCTGCACATTGCACGCGCCCTGGTGGTGAATCCTGAAATCCTGATTCTTGAGAAGCCACTGATGAACTTCGATGATAAAGAATACCGACTGGTTCAAAAGAGTCTCAGGGAGTATGTCTACAATCGAGGTGTCGCCCTTCCTGCCGAGTCCCGCGAAAGCCGGAGGCCCCGGACCTGCTTCTACAGTGCCGAGAGGGAGGATACCAGTCAGACTGACGTCGTTTGGAAATGTGACGGCGGCAGTGTGGTTGCAGAGAAACCTCCGACACAAGTTCGAGAACCCCGAACCAGCGGAAAGGACCTGCCGTCTCCAAAATCGTCATTGACTCAGGACATCCAGATGACCGCAGTTTAGTTACGAGTCTCACCCACAGGTTTTGAAATTGGGAGATCTCCGAGCCAGGCAGCAGTCACAGAGCTGCGCAGGCCGGGTTGCCAGAACAAGCAGGTTCTTGACATCGCACAGCTTCCCGTTGCGGGTCGATATTGCTCTAGTTAGACCTGCATCGCTCAGATGAGTTTCGAGTATAGTGAGTAGACACGATGTGCGGTGTGCCAGGGATGCATCAATGCATCTTGCCATGAACCTGGCCGACTGGTCTATTTCAAGAGTTTTGTGCATTCCCTAGATGGTCAGTCGCGAAGCGGCAGTGGCAGCTCAAAGCGAGCGGCCACAAGAACCATACGAAAGCTCTAAGACAGCTATAGCCATAGCTTGCGATGCGCAAGCCAAAGACCTGCCCTAACCCTGTTGAAAACAATTGCCGAGCTGGGGGAGCTGAAACTTTCAAAAACACCCCTGTGGATTCATTCTCCCCAACCTTTACGTCAGTAAAACCCTACGGGTTACGATCCCCTCTGCAAGGCCCAGGAGGCGTCCTTGCGCCTGGACGTGGCGTGCTTCAGCGCCCTAGGCTCCACCCTCCGAGCGCAGTGGCCACGAGCGCCCTTCGATCCTGCATAGTCACCGGGGCGACGGTAAAAGTACTATATATATATATACATACATATATATATAGTTGTAAATAAATAAAAAATAAGTGTGTGTATATATATATATATGTAACTTAGTAGTAGTGTATGTATGCACTTGGGAACAGGACGCAGAGGAAGAGAAGGAGCGGCAGCAGCCATTGGCAGCAGGTAGTGTCGCTGGTGATACTGGCGCCTTGTAGGAGTACCATGGTGACGACGAGTTCAATGTTGCAGCACTGACAGAAGAAGTTTGTGCCAGCATGGGGATGTGTAGGAGCCGGACGGAAGCAGGATTTATAGCTGACTAGCTACTGCTTCAGACTGCCATTGTGTAGCCCATGCTAGGTTATCGCGATCGTTGTGTTTTTCGAGTCGTTGTAGACGCGGTAGCGCACTGGCAACAGTGGCATGCAGCATAATTCCTGCTGGATGCTGCGACGGAGGCGCTAGTTGGCTTGAGCATATTTGCTGGAGCAGTTATACTCTTGTGCTTTCCGAGGCTGCACCAGTTGGAGGTTTGTACACTTCTCGGCCTTCGTCCCGATCAGGCAGGGCCTGGGTTTTGAGAGGTTAAGGCATCTTGTGATGGGTTGCAGCTAAATCTTCAGGCTCCAATCCGGCTGTCTCGACATTAAACTTAAAAGGTTGAAGATGTTTTGGTCAGTGCCTTGGGATGTATGCCAAGCTGTTGCTGCAATGAAGGCGTTTTGAAGGCTCGGCTGTCCTTGGGTGACTGGAACAGGTCCGGGGTTGTATCGTTTGTTCCTAGCAGGTACATGGCTTCTGCATGTTGTAGGCCGGGCTTGATCAATGGAGAAGTGGCATGTGTGTCCACACAAAAAGCGCATTGCCTGTCTGGAAGCAAGGCCGTGCCTCAGTGCACTGAGCCCTTTAGCTTTATAGGGGCCTGCTCGCTTGCCCTGATTACTGCAGTCGTGTACCTCAACATTTCCCCGTGTACGTGCTCCTGCATGGTCAGAACCCCGGACCTGAGTTCTGTTCTAGTGCACACTGGTTTGCCACTGTTGGGCATGTTGCAGTGATGTGGAAGTCGCCGAAGATGTTAGCACCAGTTCTTGCTGCAGTGCCTCAAATGTGTGGACTGCAAGACCTTTTGGATGTCATCGACGCAGTCGTATTTTAAAGATCGCTCATTAGCTTGATTTGAGTGTTCACCTTATGTTTCTCTTGACACATGGTGGTACATCTTAGTAATTGCTTTCCCATCTATACCTGCTTCGTAGTCCTCATCAGCTTGACCGCCCTCTATCGTCATCTGAGCGCCCTTCTGTCTGTAGGCCAATCTATGCTTACCTGCGCGTTCATCTCTATCCTTGTTTCATTTTGGGGCTACTAGCTAAACGTCACCACACAAAACATCACCATCAGCATCATCGCCGTCGATACCACCATGTCCCCCTTCATGTCAATCTCCGTTTCCGCTACAGGTTTCTCTGAACACTGCTGTTTCGGCGGCGAACGACTGGCATCGTGCCCTGGACCCTTCCTGCTGCAGAGATCTTTGATTACGTTCAGCTCAGGGGGCATTTTGTTCAACACTGCTCTTCTCTTGCTGCTAAGCTGCTAAACCCTACCCCCTAGTCGTTTAGCCTTGATGCAATAGGCGCAGGTAACAAGTAACTTGAGGAGGCATGTCAGCGCTGGCGAGAGATTGAAATTTTAGTGGGAGGAAGTTGTTGTTCCTGTCAGGGCTTCGGGCATGTCTCGCTCCCCTTAGCCTTTCTAAGCCCTGAACACTGTGGGTATCGAAACAGCTGCAGCAGAGGGTGCCGGACTCGGGCCTGCAACTCTGCAGAGCGCTTCCCCAACGATCCTTCGAAGGCAGCCTGTTGTAACTTGCCCAAATGCCCTGAGCCCTAAGCTAAGTGCCAGGAGTTTGGAGTGGCCTCACAGGCATGCTGTCCATTCCTGCAGGGATGTAGCATCGAATGCAAGGTCTCCACGGCCCTGTGTCGGACTTATCCCCGAACACCCACACCCTACAATGAGCAGAAATGTGTTACACAAGACACATGAATGAGGGAGCTGTGGACGTAAGATGCCACTGCAGCTGCATCGAACCGCCGAAGTGTTTGTTTTCAAACACGCCAAGCCCCCTTCGCGCCATAAATGCTCAGATTCTAACCTGATGGGATGCTGACGACCCATTGACTGAATTGGTTACCCAAGCTCCAGTCCCATGCCGGGTAGAAGGACTTGATCCGAAGTTTTGAGATCCTCCAGCTGCAGAAGGACCTGGTTTCTGAGGCAGTAGAATTTCAGCTATCCAGCCACTCATCTTTGTGGCCTTGAAAGCAGTCAATCGAGCCGATGGGAGCTCCTTGTTTCCTGGGACGCCGGCTTTTTTTGTCGTGGCTTGTGACCACACCCTCCGCGCTTTCTATTCAATCTGATAAGTGTTCGAGGTCATTTAGCTGCATAGCATTCAATGGCTTCGTCGCTGATGGTGGCGGTTCCGCTGAAGACGATGCTGCTGAATGCTGCTCAGGGGAGGGGTGCTAATGATGACGATGACGGTGATGTTGATGCTGTCGAAGATGAAGATTGTCATGTTGTTGGTGATGACGTCCGTGGGAGCGGTGATGGCGTCAACACGATCACCCAAGCGGGTGTCAGGACATTGTTGGCTTTGGCGCAGCTGTCACCGGCTCCGCAAAGACTCGGGCTTGGCAACCTGGCAGAGCGCAGTCGGATCGGAGGACGCTTGCGTTGCGGTGGTGGTTGTGGTGGTTTTTGTCGAAAAGTCCTGCGATTCTGTTGTTGTGCTGATGATGACCGATACCGTTGTTGCCGCAGCTACTGCAACTCACTGCTGCTTTTGATCTGAATATCCTCGTTGTACTTGCTGCTTCCATTTTGTGTGTCTGTGTGTTGATTTTTCGTTTCGGTGTCCAGGCCCGTGGGACTTCAAGCAGAGCGTAAGTAAACCCTACGAGCGCACAGGCAGAAGTTCCATGCCTTGTGGGATCAAGAAGCGAAAGACCCTCGAGCCACCAGGTCCCCAATCCAGAACATCGAGCATGCGCGCCCGAAACAACAGTACTGGAAGTCACTTTTGTAGATTTTCAAGATGGTGATGTGCTGGTGCCAGGTCTTACCCGTTTAAGTCGTGTTCAGGTCTTCAATGGAGTTTGATCTGTGTTGTTGTCCTGGTAATGGTAGAAGAAGCCATCCGAGTTCAGTCGAACCTCCCAAACATGCAGCCGATGTCGAGGTCAGCTGGGTTGAACCTTTGCCAGGCGGACGGGACGGGAGCTGGATAGATATGCCGCCCGACCCCCTTCTTGGCATCATTCTATCAACAACCGCTTGCTGGCCCTATCCGTAGCACCGCATACTTGCTCGTATTTGAGGAGACACACCCGGGTGTTACAGTTCTCTCAATCATATGAGAAGCCTGGGCACAACGCTGCTACTGCCAAGATTTTTGTCGTGCTTGGATAATCCACTTGGAGGTGCCCGCAGCATTGCCGCAGCATGTGCCGTAAGTGTTACCTAATTTTTGTGACACTCAACCACGGATGCTTTCGGAATCGCTAGGGCCTCGGATACCCAGAACCAACACCTCCATGCTGAAAGCCCCTAAGCCCGACAGAACCAGACCGAAAGACTTTGGGCAGTGCGAAGGCTCTGGAGGGCCTCGGCCTGGAGACAAGCCAGACAGCAGGCCAGTCCTTTGATAATTTGTTGCCAGAGGGTAGGGCATCATTCTTCCATGAGTCATGGGCATTGGGTAGTTCTCTCCTGTGTGACTATGGCTACTGATGCCGTTGGTGTTGCTGCTGTGGTTGACGGTGGTGGTGGTTCGGGTGTTGCTTATGCTGCTATTGCCTGTCGTGGAATTGTCGTTGCAGCATTTACTGCTTGTGTAGCATCATTCCACTTGAAACTCGGTTTTCGAGACTCTACGCGAAAAGTGCACCCGTGCCAGGTGCATAAATAATGATAGGACCGTACTGCCCAGATACAGCCAACATTCTCTGTTGCAACAACCTGTATGCATCCTTGAAAGAATACCTCCACGGGACAAATCAAGTGCAGGTATCTCTTGACCATCGTGCAATATGCCTGTCTTTTGAAACCGAGCACAGTAGTTGTCATGTATAACGATGGACTTGGTAATGTCAGGCCGACTATCGGAGTCTCGCACCTTTCTTGGTGGCCGTAATCGTTTTGACTTGGCAGCAGACGCCGTAGAAGGACTTGGGCGCTGCTGTGTGGAGGTCTTCCAAACCTCTCATGTGCTCGTTGGTCCAGCCGGGTATGGGAGGGAGCCTCATGTGCTTGCCGGCTGTAAGCAGTAGGAGGCAGCACAGCGGGATCGGTGAACATGCGTCGTCATGTCAACTCTCAACAACT